ATGACTCCTGTTTTGTTTAGGTTCCTTTCTTAAGCAGGGGAGCAACATCTCCCATTTCTCCTTCACCTGATGTGAGGGGGCCCACTTTACAGCCACCACCCAGGGGAAATGCCCAGAGAGAAAGAGAGACAAGGAGGGAGGAAGGGAAGGGGAAGTGGCAAATTTTGAATTGCTGGCTCTTGGTTCTGTGTACTTGAAAGATAGTTTTATCTCGGTGGTCCTCAGGCCTGGCTGCACACTAGAACCACCTTGGTGTTCAGACCAGTTGGATGAACATCTCTAGGGGTGTGACCTTGGCATTTTCCAAGCTTCCCTGGTGATTCTAATGTGCAGCCAGGTGGGAACGAGGGTCTGAGGTAAAGGAGAAGACTGCAACTGAGTCAAGTGAGATTTATTTGCAACCAGGTGAGGTGACCCTTCTCCTCCCTGTGTGACTTGTACCTACAATAATCGGTGCAGTTAAATCTAATATTAGTAGATGTTTGGGAAGTTAAAAAAAAAAAGTTTGTCACCAGACCTTTTCTTTCTCCCCCCTCATCAAAAGCAGCTGGGAAGCATCCCCATTATTACAAACAACTGGGGAGGAGACAGGACCTCTCTCCATCCCAAGGCAGAAAGTCTGAATTGTAGTTCTCAACTTCAGTGGCCTAGTAGAATCATCTGAGAGCTTTAAAAATACTAGTTCTCAGGCATTTCTCCCAGGGATTCTGATTTAGTTGGTCTGGGGTGCAGCCTGGACATCAGGATTTTTTTCAAGCTCCCCAGGCAATTCCAACAGGCAGCCAGAGGTGACGTTGCTGATGACACTCTCACAGTGGTTCTCAATTTTAGCTTCAGCAGAATTATCTTTTGCCTTTTCTCAGAACACTCAAACACTTAGGGCCCATTTTCAGAGAGATTTTGATCTGGGAGGTCCTGGGGGAAGCCCAAACATTTGAACCACAGGTCCTTCTGCCTCCCAGCAGCAGTTTGGCTGTGTGGAGCTAAGACTCACTGTTCTTGGAGCTCACCCAGGCCTCGACCTGGAGTCTCATCTACTAGGCAGCAACCCACATTCCTCCTCTGCCTCACTGGGGAAATTCTCATGCAGAAACATGTTGGGCTCCCTAAATCAATGAGACTGTGGTTTGAGTATTTGCAGCTGTAATAGTAAAGTGACAGTGGCATTCCTGTTGGCATTCTGCCAGTGGCAGCTTTTTAGCAGGGCTAGTTGTAAAGGGCCATCACACAAATGGGGAATATTCCTCTGAACGGCAGAACATGGAAAGTCAGCAGAATGTGACCTGGCCCAGGTGGCCCTCCTTCTTAATGAGTTAAGAAGGCACTGGGGACATCTTCGCAACCTGGCATACCTACAGCAAGGAGCCCTTTTCAGAGGGCAGTCAGCAGCCCGTCTTTCTTTTGGCTGTGTTTGTGAGTTTGTCGTTAGGTCACTCTTCCGGATTATCTTCCAAACCAATTTGCATGAAGGGTAGCCTCCATAGATGAGGTCATTCATTTTTAAACTCTAGAAGCCCCCATTTCCTCATCTGTAAACCAACATAGAGAGCAGCCTTGACCTCACATGCAGTTGTGATTGCTGGGATTAAATGAGACTGATTCATGTTCATGTAAGAGTGTAGCACAGGGCCTGTAATAAATGGTATTTATTGTAATTAGCATTTGGCGGCCACTCTTATTTCAATGGGATTTCTTGGAGCCCCTAGCATTGATTTGTTAACTCATAAGGTTTTCAGAACCAAGTGGCTGGGGAGGTGTTAGAACCCTTCTCTCCCAGGACCTGCAGGTTAGCGTAGCAAACATTTCACACCATGCAAGTTTGCCTGGTGGGGTGCTCACCCTCCTCTAGCCTGGACCTTTTACAAGTAGGTCCTTGTGAATTCACAGGCAAATCCTCCTCACACTACTCTTTCCTAGGAGGGAAGCACCACCCTCTGTCTACAGAGAAATTCCATTGGCTTGACTGCAGCTCTTGGAGAGGAATCTGCCAGTCACCCCAAAGCCCAAGCTCCCCAGCCCCTGTGGTTGGTGGTTTGCTGGAGTTTGTGTAGAGCTGGGTCTTGCTCGCAGGAGCATGGAGGCTGGCCGGAAGGGCCATCAGAGAGGTGGGCTAGTCCTGAGGAGGAGGAGAGGTCAGACCCACAGAATGAGCTATGGAAAAGGGATGAATGGGTGAGTGGGAGAAAGAATAAATTAATCTCTAAACTACATCTTTGCCAAAAATGTAATCTTTGAGATAGAGTTTGAGGAGGAGAGTGAGGAATAAGATTCCAGGCAGAGAAGGGAGCAGGAGTTGAGGGGGCAAGGGGCAGGTAGTTTACTTGACCCTGCACTAGTTTACTTGACCCTGGGCTATTGTAGTGGGGGACATCTTGGGTCAACTGGAACCTAGGAGGTGGGACCTAAAGTAGAGGGGGGAATAGAGTGAGTATCAGATACCAAACAGAGGAAGCCCACACCCAGTGGGAGCCACCCGGGTGCAGGGTGAAAACCTGCAGATGTGCCGGAGGAGGGACCCATTGCAGGGCTCTCTAGACACAGGCGTCCCCTACGCCTGCTGCTTACCAGCTGGAGCCTCCATTCCAGGCCACTGTCAGCTTCCCCCCAGAAAGGGCCAGTGCCTTTGTTTCCTCCACAACCTCCAGCGTGAGCTGTTTCTTGACTTTTGCCTTCATATAATTTATTAAAACCAAACAAAACAAAAGACAAAACCTGTCCCTGTCCCAGAGCTCTCAGCCTTCTCCCTCCCAGCCCCAGTCTGTGAGCATCTGTTTTCTTATTCAGAGTTCTGTGATCTAGATCTTTTCTGAAGAAAAGTCTTCTTGCTAGAGCTGCCCCCTCTTCTGCTTTGTTCCTCTTCTTTCCAGAGTCTGGCTGGCCTCCTTCAGCTTCCTTATTTACCAAAGATCACAAACGCTTTGCACCCTTCTTGAACATAAAACCTCAAATCTCTTTTACCCTTTAAAGACTGGAAGCTAAACCAAAACTCAGATTTGATCAAGAACTCAATCTATGGCATTCCTATCCCAAGCCCTGTTTAGTGTGCAGGGGAAGCGGCCCTGGTGCATGAGGAGAACCCGGACTCTGAGGTCAGCAGACCTGGGTGTGAATTTCTCTCCCTTCCCTTAGCAGGGGGGGTGGGGGGCCACAGGCGAATGACTTATCTGTGCAGGAAGCAAATGAGAAAATGTATGTGAAATGTAAAGTAACCCTTAACAGGAAAACAAGTGCCTGAATTCAAACCTTTAAATAAGGTATATAAAAACTGGGTTTAGGGATAGAGGACTAATGAAAGACTTTTCCATTAAGCAGCGTTAAAGACAGAGGCTTGTATGCTCTGGAAACCCAGGTCATAGCCTGAAATAGCAACTTTTGCAGCATCTCCTGTTTGCCAATTAAATATTAAACCCATACATTCGTAATATAAATATTATAGATGTATAGTATATATAAATATACATAATACAGTATAAATGTTTATTTCATATAAATATTCAAATGTAAATATAATACATAATAAATAGATATAAATATTAAACCTGTTCCTTTAACATTAAAATGATTAAATTTTTGTTAACATTGAGCAAAACTTATGCTCCAGCAGCTGCACTGTATTTATCCTGTGGCTCCAAGTACCCTTCTGGCAGCTGGGGTCTGGAATACCCAGGAGCCCGGATTTAGGGGAATCACAAATGCGATGCTCCTGGGGCTAGCCCTGGCAGAATAGCAGGCATGCCAGGACCCTTAGTCCCCTTTCATCTTTCTTGTTCTTCAAAGGCCTTTTAGCCTAAAACTGAAGGTGATGGTCTGACCATTTCATCAAAAGGTAGACTCTTAAAAAAAAAAAAAAAGTTTAGCTGTCATTGCCATGCCTGAGGGACAAAATCAAAACAAAACTTTAACTCCAGTGTGCAATGTTTGGTGTGAGGCTGCTCCCTGGGGAAGTCCCCTGTGGGAAGGAAGCTTCCCCACCTAAGAAGGCAGCAGTGATCATTTTCATTACAAGAAGAAAGTCACCTCAGACAAAGGGACCTGTGTGTAAGCTAAGTATCTTCTAGGGAGAAGAATTATGTGCTTGGGGGAGAAAAATGCCTGCATCAGAATATGACCATCATTTCCTTAAGGTAGAACCTATCCTAAGGAGTCATCCTGTGAGAACCACTTGTGGCTGCCCCAGAATCCGAGCAGAGGGTGAGGATGGGGGCGCCGCTTAGCATAGGCTGAGTTCAGTGGAAAGTGGCATCAGCCTTCAGCACACAGGAGGAGCTGCTGCTGAAATGACTGCTGCCAAAGAGTCTCTAAATAGTAGCAACACCAGTGATAATATCACCTTGAGTTGGTATCGGCCCTTACAGGCTATATGCAAGTTCAGGAACATGACCTCTTTCGTGCCCTTACTACTCCTGTACCGGAGGCAGGCTGGGTAGTGTTGGAAATGAGGACCAAGGGTCACAGGAGATAGTGGCTTCTCAAGTCCTACAGGTACCAGATAGAGACACTGGCCTCTCGGGCTGGGCCACTCAGCAAATGCTTGTAGAACCAACTAAACAAAGATGAAAAAGCAAATTACAGCCTATGTCTCCTGACAGTTTAGCATGTCTTCTCCCTTTTATCATCAGAATTCCTGAGAACACACATCTAGTTTAAAAATAACCTGGATTTTTATGAACTGCCAAAATGCACTTCATGTCATACACATGTCTGCTGCCTTCTCTGTTGCCCCAGAATTTGGCAGAGTAACAGTAATAATGAAGCACTCAGTAGCACCTCTCACCCACCCGTGAGAAAGCTGATAGTTACCCCTTGTTCTCCAAGCAGGAGGTGTCTGTGCCAGGAAGTGGGAGCGATTTTGCTGACACCTTTGCCTCCAATAACAAAGGCTGGAGGAGCCCCTTGGGGCTTTTCCTAGGGCTTCAGGTCCCTCTGGCCCAGCCTTCCCTGGGAGATGGGGAAACAAGTACTTCTGTCAGAGAGCGTGCTGATGTTTCCCTCTTCCCCAGCTGCCATTCTGGGTACGTCGGTGCACGCTGTGAGCATGCAGACCTCCTGGCAGTGGTGGCCGCCAGCCAGAAGAAACAGGCTATCACCGCCTTGGTGGTGGTCTCCATCGTGGCCCTGGCTGTCCTCATCATTGTGTGTGTGCTGATACAGTGAGTATTTGCTGCCCCTAGGGTCAGCTCTCCCTCCTGCCTGCCCTCCCAGGGACATCTGCAGCATGCCCAGTAGGGCCACCTCGGCATAGTATACCACCATGGTGTTTGAGTGGTGCCAGCAAAGTCAAGAGGACCTTTGGTAACAGCCAGGCTGTGTCAGCAGATACATCCTGGGAGAGTGCCCCCAGTGAGTCTGTGCACTGAGGGAAGCCAGTGCAGACTGCAGTGCACTCTCTCTCTCTCCCCGCTGCTGGGTTTGGAGCCTTCAGAATTGTGATAGGGACGTGCAGTATTCCACAGTGAACTAGAAGTGGCTCCACCTCCTTTGGCAAATTGCGGAGGTGCTTCCTCTCTGCAGAGGTACTTTGCAAATCCTAAAGTCATGTCAAAGGTTACTATTGCCATTATGACAGGCTAATGACAGCCCTCCTCCTTTCTCTGCTTCTCTGCCCCTTCTCATCCTTTAAAGCTCAGTTTCGCGTTGCATCTTCCAGAAGCCTGCCTGACCAACAGAGACCTGTTTCTGGTCTTAGCCCTGTTTGCTTGCCCGTATCTCCTGACTGGACTGCTCTGCAAAAGGAGAGGCCCTAACACTATATTCACAGCATGTGGCCAGATTTATCCCCTGGAAATATCTAAGTCACAGAGCAAGCCCTCACATAATTTATACCTAATTGGACATGCACAAAGAATTCACAGAACAGCTAAAGGCTGCCAGTCAGCTCAGTGTAGATTAACTCAAGGTGGACACAGATAGTTGATGGACCATCCTGGCAAAGACTGGCATAAGCAGCTGCGTATTAATGCAGGAAGCCAGACGTTAGCCCTCTCAGGTTGTCTAGGATTTAGACAGATAAATAAGAGTGTCTGTCCTGTTTGTTGCTATTGGGGCATCTAACGCCCTTGCTTCTGGTCTGGGCAGTGAATGGAGAGTCCCTTAGAGCTCACCCTTGTTGACAGTAGCCACAGCCTACTCACACCCTTCTCTTCATCCGAGCCAGCTTTAAGTAGTGAGGGACAAGGTCTGAACTAGGCTGGCCTTTCCTTCCTCTTCAAGCAGTCTACTCCCACCTGTCTCAGAAAAGGTGGTAGACAAGCTTCCTGGTTTAGGCGGGGCATAGTCCAGGCTCTGCTGCTCACAAGGACCTCCCTGGGGGAGCAGGAGCAACCTAATGGACCACTGGCCTCAGTTCTCATGGCTGGCTGGCTGTGTGGGCTCCCCCATCATGTCCATAGTCCTATTCTGTGGCCACAAGGGCCCCAGAGCCTTAGGAACAAGACTGGGGGCCCATGTCAGCCTCTCCAGAGGGACTTGAAAGCTAATTTTGCCAGATTCTCTGGAGACAGGATATCTCTCTCGTATGCCTGTATGAATTCTCTCAGTCCCATCTTTCCCAGCTGGGAATGTCTTTTCCCAGACCATTCTTGACAGAGACCAAGTTCAGAATCCCTGAGCCAGAGACTAAGCCCTCACCCACCCCCATCCCCTCACTGGTTTTTTAGCATGAGGCCCTCCTGAGTTGCAGAGTTGGTTAGGACCAACCAGCTCCTCCCATGCCAGAAGGATCTAGAGGCCTTGATCCCACTGCCCTGGGTCACTCCTGACTGGTAAATGACTGGGGTAAGCCCACCTCCTAGCTGCAAGACAGCAGTCTCTGGTGGAACTGGAATCAAGGCCTCCAGATCCTTCCAGGATGCCCTGCAAGCCCAGAGGCATGTCAGCAGAGCTGGTCCTTTGGGGCAGCCCACAGGTGCTTTTGTTCTTAGCCAGCATCTGCCCCAAACCTACCTACCATCTTGCAAAGCCCTCAGCCCCTGCTGTGTCCATCCTTCTGGAGCCCCTGCAGGAAGGCTCCTGCCAGCCTCCTGCCCAGCCCATGTTCTCTCTGTCTGCAGCTGCTGCCAGGTCCGAAAACACTGTGAGTGGTGCCAGGCCCTCATCTGCCGACATGAGAAGCCCAGTGCCCTCCTGAAGGGAAGGACTTCTTGCTGCCACTCAGAAACGGGTAAGGGCCTGCATTAAGAAGGGACCTTATTCCCTCAGGGGATGCTATTGGGTGGAGAAAACGACTGCCTTGTCCAGGGCAGAAATTCTTGGAGGATGAAACAGGAGGAAGGGAGAGCAAGAAGAGAATGTTTGTCCTACCAAGTCAGATTTAGTTTATTCTAACATGTGTTTTTCTCAGACGGAAACTCTTTCACCCTTACTGGGGACTGTGTGACCTTTAACAAGTTACTTCACCTCTCTGAGCTTGTTTTCCTATTAAAAAGATGTTATGCAAATTGAAAGAGAACTGATATAAAGTACCTTGTATAATGTATCACAAATTATAGGCATGCAACAGATGTTCATTCTCTTTTCCTTGAGAAAGTCACCTCCCCTTTCCCATTGGTGAAATGAGGCATTTGGCCCCTGGGAGGTCACTACGGACTCTCTAAGCTCTTAGATCCTGTGCTCTTTGTTAAGTTTACCACTGTTTCATGAATATTTTCCCCAACATCCACGAAGACTATTGGCCATTTGGATGTGGGGCCAAACCCCCACCCTGGGAGACCTGCTCAGCACATTTCTGGCTCAACACTCATGAAGTCAAATAGCCCCATTATCTAGACAGGCTCTGGGAAGCCTCCCATCAACAGGCTTTTCCAGGATGCCATTTTGACCAAAAGAGCCCTTGATAAACGTAAAGTTCCTTTTCAGGAAGTAGTGGGTCAGGAGATAATCTCCACAGACTAATCCACCACTGGCATCCTCTGGTAAACCATTGGCATTCCAGAAGCCTAAGGTTGCATGGAGAAAGTAGGAAGCTGGACACTGCCGTATTCACTAAACCTCGTGGTAATCTGACCTAGAGGGAACTGAAGACCCAGGAGCACATTTATTTGTTCTTATTTCAAGAACTGTAGTAATTGTGACTTCAGAGGATGCTAGCTTTTGAGGATGCTAATCCATTAATCCTCATAATGGCCTTAAGAGGAGGAGGGTTTGTGAGTGATGTGGGTAAACTGAGTCTGCCAAAGACTGCTTGGAGGCCCCTATAAGTCCACAGGGAAGCTAGGATGAGAACCAGGGCATCTGAAGCCTCTGCTCACATCTCTGTCCCACTACCTGGGGACCACCATTGGGCTAATGAAAATAAGTATTTTCGTATTGTTTTTAGCATCCATACAAAAGTTATGTAAGTCTTTTAAGAATATTTGCAGTAGATTTTGTACCAATTTGTCTGCATCTCAGCAGAGTCATTCAGGGTAGAATAAGTTTCTTGTTAGTATTACTTCTGTACCCACTTTCGAAGGATGTTAGCTTTGAGCTTGGCATAGGTCTAGCCTTCCAGAGACGACCACTGAGGCTGAAGCCCCTCTCCCTGAGATGACACATACCTTTCCACCTCCAAATGAACCGGGGGGGTGGGGATCAGAGCAGGAAGATGTCCAGGCAGAGCTGAACTCGGGAGGTGCTGGGAACTGGGTCCATGGTGACAGCCACAGAGCCCCACCCATTGAGAAGCAAAGCAAATGGGTCCATTCTTGTGTGGCCTGAGGGGAAGCTGTTCTGCCACCAGAACCCTGGCCCAGCTCATGAGCTGCCCATTAAGCCGCCACTTAGTGGGAAACTGGCCACAGGCTGGGTTGACTCACCTCCTGTTGAATGAAAGCCCTCACAACAGGACGGGTCCCTGTTCTCTTCTGCCACAACTCATTTCACTTTCAGTCAGCCCTTCCTTTGGCTGACTGCCCAGTTTCAGAAGCTGCTGCCCCTGAGATTGAACCAGAAGAGTTTGGACACGGGCCTTACTGCCTGAGAGAACCTGGCAGCATTGCTGATGCATCTCCAGTTTCTTTCCAGAACTTGCTTTCCCTAGCACGGCTGGGGTCTGGCCTGCAGAACTGAACTTGTTCTCCTTCCTTCCAGTGGTCTGAAGAGCCCAGAGGAGGAGTCCGGCCAGGTAGAGTGCAGCAGCCTAATGAAGAAAGGACTTCTTCAGATGGCACGACGAGGGATGCCTGGGACGTGCCGCCAGACCTTCCTGCTCTGTCTGCAAACACCTGTGCAGCCTTTCTGTCTTTCGTGGGCCTTCCTTCAAAACTGTCAAGAACTCTGTCTGCTTGGGGTTGTTTGGTGTGACCTAGAGAAGAAATCAGTGGACCACTATTTAAAGACTTGGTCAAAAAAGAAATGCAAAGGGGTGGACTTCCTGTTTACCTGGCTAAGGTGTGTGCCCATCAGCACTGGGGCCCAGGTGTGTGTAGCTGTCTTCTGCCAGTCACCAATGCTGGGCTGTGTTACTTTCTAGAGGGCCCATCTCTCCACAACAGAATCCATCCTGCCCAACACTAGAGATTCCTATAGTTGTTACAGTTTTTTCTCATCAGCTTGTTGGGCAAGAAGGTGGAGAATGAATAACTGCTTATTGTGACAGGAAGATGCTAAGGATAAGAGGAGCCATGTCTGCCCTCTGTCTGCCAGACCCTCAACCAGCCTGGTGTTTTCCACAGATATGCGATGCTGAGGACCTTCCCAAGCCCTCACCACCCTCGGAGATAATTTCTTATTTATTAGAGTGATGATGGTTTTATTTTTCATCTCTTTAGTCAATGTAAAAAGCATAAAACCCTTAGACTGCTACAATCATGATGTCTGCATTGCTGGCTGAAAAGCTGTACTGATTAGGAATATCATGCCTCTTTGGGACAGCTAAGGCTTGGGAAAAGCCCCCCAGGGAATACAGCAATGGAAGCAGAGGATGAGGTGCTGATAGGAGCAAAGACTGGGGTTCAGAGGTTGTGCCATTTCAGCAGGTAGATGCCCCTGAGACATTCCAGTAGAAAAGTCAGCACATCCTGCAGCAGAGATTTGTCCCCTCTGCTAGGAGAGTGAGGCAGAGAATGCCTGTGTGTGCATCTCTACAGGGTAAATGCAGTGGGCACCACACCGCTCTGTAATTAAACATGACCACTTCCCAGGCAGCTCCCCAAAGGTCTGTAAAGAAATGGAGCATTAGCAGAGAGCCACACACATTTAGGGTCACAGCCATTATAGGGGGACGGTGGGGGTGTGGGGGCAGTCATTCATTTTCCGTGTTACCTGGTTTGTTGCTCTATTTATAAAAGGAGAAATTTAATTTTCCTCCTTATTTGCAGGCATTAGGAGAAATACTCCAGTTCTTTTCTCCCTTTTCCATTCAAGATGCTGGTTTTTTAAACAAAAACTCTCACAAGCCACTTCCACCATATGAGTCCCACTTTCCCCTCTGAGGAGCAGCTGTTCTGGGCATCTGGCTGGGTTCTGACCCATTGGGCCTCCCTGTGGGAAGCGCTGGTTCCCTGCAAGTAAACCGGGAGCTCCTCCCTAGGGATTTCCATTAAAATGTGGAAGCAGAATAACAGTGAAATAATACGTAAACTCCTTATGTGGGGACCTCTTTATTCACTAATATTTGAAAAAGGAAAGCTTTCTACCTATGAAGCACATCCAGCTCCTCACACAAGAAAAGGACCTTTAAAATAAGTCAGGTTGGCTTGAAACTTCCATCAGGTGATGTCCTCCCTGACTCTCCTTGCCCATCTGTCCATCCTGATGCACTCTCTGTTTCTTACCATTGAGACAATTAAATGACCCATGTCCTAAAGTCGACACTTGCGTGGAATGATGCTGTTGCCCCGGAAGCACTAAGAGCAGAAATGGATCTGTTCGCCAGCTGGCCACCCAACAATTTGTTGACACAACTCTCAGGTTTTAATTACAAAAGGAAATAGGCTTAAGTTTGCTTTCCTCCGACCAGTCCTCCGGCAGCCGGTATGTGGGCTGAGGCTTAACTGGAGCATCTTGCTCTGAGACCAGTCCAGGTGACACTTGTTTGTAGACCCCACTTTGTGCTCACCTTTCTCATCAGACTCTCCTGAGAGTCTCGTTAGATAGACTTATTAATAAAAGTAGAGTAATATCAAGTCTTTTTAACTTGAAATCACATTTTTACTTTAGGACAATCTTTCCTCAGTCTTTTAGAGATGATTTGAGGTCTGGCTGCCTTTAAAGAATATGAACTGATGTGCAAATGTTTTGTGGGTTATTTCATCTAAGGGAGGGCAGGATCAGTGTCCCATCTGTAGGTATCTGAGAGCCTTTGCAGAGGTGTGAGAAGGAAGGAAGCAGGGGAGAGCTTCATAGTCCTCCAGGGACTTGAGATTCAGTATGTGGTTGCTGTGGTCTGGCGTCCAGCAAGTCACAGCTGCTGGTGCCCCCCTCCTCGGACCTGTAAAACTATGCAGGGAACAGGCTCACTGTGTGCCCTCAGAGGCAGTCCTCTGTAAACCAGCAGGTCTGAAACGAATTGCAAGCCGAGGCTGAGGTCAAAGCAGGCCTGGTCGGACCTTTGGCCAAGCCCTGGGTTGTGAGAGCTTTGCTCCTTGGGTGATTTCTCCTTTGGAAATCAAATGGCCAACAAGCATTGGATTCCTGTGCCATTTCATGGCACTGGTACTTCCTTGGTTAACTGTAAAAACGCCTCCTTTTCAGGTTAAAAATCCATCTTCTAATCCATCTCTGAAGGTTCCTTCCCTGTGTTTCCTTGCCTGTTAGAAAGCCAAGTATTGGTTATGGTTAGGGAATCATTCCCGAGGCCTGATCTGGGAAGCAGCCACACATCTGAGAGAGGGGAACATAGCTGTTTCCAGTGTCTGCCTCCAGAGAAAGGAAAAGCCCCCACTGAAAAATAAAACAGGAGGAGGTGCTTCCAAATCTTTTATGGAGCCTAGATTCTCCCACTTCTCTGCAGGCTGTGACTTCTTTAAGCATCCTGGCAGGAAACATTTTCTTCTCGATGGAAAGATATACAGCATCCAACCCTGACCTGGAAGACACATCTGGACACACATGGGCCCAAACAAGATAGGAGTTTGCCATTGTGATCCAGCAGAGGAGGTGGAACGGACACTCCCCCACCAACATCCTGGTGAGGGAGGAGCAGGCGTGGTTCTAGAGCTTTGCGGGAGACTGTTGTCTTCAGGTAGAGAAGAGTATCTGGCATCTTCAACTAGGTGTTCCGGGGCCAACTTGTCTCAGTGCATATGAGCCACAGTTGCTCTTCCAGGCAATTTTAGCAGGAGTGAATCAACGAGGCTCCAACACTACTCAGGAGACCCAAACCCCTTAGTAGGCTATGGACTTTGATTTCTCCCAACTGCTAAACAAAGGAGGGGAGATGATTCAAAAGTCCAGGACCAAAGGGGACATCACAGAAACAAGATGAATACATATATTTGTTCTTAATGTTCTAACATAAGATCTGTTCTCTCTGGAAACTGGTTTTACTAGGCTTTCTGAAAGATCTAGTGGTAAACACACACACAGTACTGAAAAGCAACCCCTGTTCCTAGTGTAATAACTTACTGAAGTGTTCAAGTTTCCATTATCTTTATTATAACAAACCTGATGCTTTTTTTTTTAGAACTTGTTACTCTGACTTCTGTATATGTTGCACTGAAAGGTTAATATTTAATGTTTTAATTTATTTTTGTGTGATAAGTTAATTTTGATTTCTGTAATGTGTTAATGTGATTAGCAATCCTTTCCCTTAATATCTGGATTATACTTATTTAAAGAGTAGTGAGCAATGTAAAATGCAGTTGTTTTTCAATAATGTGCATTGTTATTCAGTTGTACTGTACCTTGTTTGGAAGGATGAAGGAATGAACTTTTTTTTCCTAAATCAAGACTAGAGCTTTTATTTCATGAGATTGGGATATTGCTGAAGCAAATTAAGATTTTTCTCTGCAAATGTGAATGATGAGAAAAACTTAGATGCTCTTTTCTTAAAGGTGGGACTCCTAAAATTAACCATAGTGGAGCCTAATCTGCTTGAAACTGAATTCCTTCAAGTTCTTCTCAAGTATTTCATCTACTGGGTCCGACGATATGCTAACTTATGTGGAGGAAAGTATAAAACCCACAGTCCCAGCCCCAAAAGAATTGAGATCTGGCTAAGAAGACAGACAGACCCGCAGAAAATAATTCCAGGTGAATTCCAGGCAAAATACAAGGAAAGCCTGGAATTCTGAGGTAGAGAATATGCATTAATAGCCATGGTTTTTCAAGTGTGGCCCCCAAACTGGCAGCATCAGGGTCACCTGGAGATGTCTTAGGAATGCAAATTTTCAGGCCCCATCCCAGACCTATTAAACTCTAGAGGCTCCCCACGTCCTCTCCACCTTCCAGGTGATTCTGATATATGCTCAAGTTTGAGAACCAATGTGCTATAGGACTCTGTGAAGGGCAAATTAGTGTGGGGGCTACAGGATTTAGGAAAAGCTTTATAGAGGCTTTGCAGAGGAAGTGAAAGTTAACTCGGTTTACCCTTAGTGTTTGAAGTGAATAGCCATCAGAATGTATGGTCTTGAATTAAGGCCTGCCTTTATTTGAATCTTCCCTGCTAGGCCTAGTTGAAAGGAAAACAAGCTTGTCTATCTCCCACCATACCTCCACTCCCCCACCCCTATGCCCCACTATGCCCCAATTTCTAACTGTAAGGAATTGGTCTAAAACTGTCAACCCACTTAAAAGTCTTGCTGCACTTGAATTCTCCTGGCTAAGCCTCTGCACTTCTAACCCATGTGTGGACCTCAAACGTGCAATTCACGAGGAGTTTGTGGAGAAGCAGCAAAGAGTGAAATAGTTGCTGAATGGTGTGAGATATGGGTCCCAAGGAAGATTCAGCTCTTTGCGATGAGAGATGAGGGCATAGAGCCTGTTTTCCAGGCCCCAGAGGACTTGGGATCCACCTAATGTGCAGGCAGATGGAAATGCAGGCAACTCTGCACTGGTGCCCTGGCCTGGTCTGCCTCTCTTGTGGAGCCTTTACGCACCTCTTAGGAGAGAGAGGGAGGGACCTGCTGCCCACACTTGGTGTTTCCCCGCACAGCCCTATTCAGCCTTCAGGGACATCTCCAGGCTTTATTTCTAACCCAAGGGATTTTCCACTTGTCCTGTTCCTTCTGCTTCCCTGATTTCCAAGCCCTCCTTCTGCCAAGACTGCCTCTACCAGACCCTGGTGGCTGGCCCTGGTTCCAGTCAGGTGCACAGTCTGGAGCGCTCAGAGGAGGATCCCTCCCAGGAATAAGCACGTATGAACTTTGAGCCAAGCCAGACCTTCCCTCCCTTACCCGGCTGACTTGCAGCTGCCAGCGTAAACCCATGATCCAAGCTGTTTTGGCGTTGTCTTTTTGGATGCTGTTGGCCCAAATGTCAGACCCCCATTTTGCCTGGTTTCCATGTGCCCTGATTCCTGCCAGCCCGTTTGGGGGCATTTGAGTGTGACCCGGCCCTGCCTCCTCTCTCTCTTGGAACCCTTGGCCCAGCAGCCACCACGAATTTTAGCACCAGCCCTCTTTCCCCTGCCTCCTGAAACGCCCTCTTCCACATTTGCTCTCTACAGGACTTGCTACTTCTGACAGACCCTGAGGTTTCTGCCATAGCCTTTCACATCCCAAAACGGCGTGATGTGCCCATGGTCATACAACCTGGGTCTAGTAATGCCTGGTCACCCCAGATCAATCGAATTATAAAATCTGGGCGATGGAGTTTGGTACTTTTTTAAATGCCTCATGGTGATTCTAATCCAAACCCTATTGCCCTCTGGAATACACCAAGCCCCAGGGAGCAGATGGCACATGAGAAGTTTGATGCCTGGAGCTGAGGTGCCTGGACTCCAACCAGGGCATCCACCCTGGTCACAGCTTAAGCATCCCTCAGTGCCTAGGAGCTGTGAGCCCCTGGGGAACCACAGACCTCTTTCCAGTGGGACCATCTGAAGCACAGAAGTGAGAAAACTATAGGAACATAAGCCTGTGAAGAGGACCATGTGACTAGCAGTTGAGGTCACGCACAAATGGGTGATGGGTTTTTAGGAGCCAAATTTTGCAACTGGGAATAAAATTAAGGTGACATTTATGCTCAAAGGGAAACAGTAGACAGAGAAAGAAGGAAAAAAGCCTCCTTCTAGAGACATTTACTCCAGTGGAAGTTGCAGGTCCAGTGTGCGAAGCGTGGTACCGAGGGCGGGAGGCGCCCCTGCGGCAGTGAAGTCCCCAGGGCGAATCCAAGTGCTGTAGGGGAGCCCCTCTCCGGAAGCCTGGGGAGCGGGGCTGAGATCTGGGCCAGGGAGCAGCTGCACTCCCTGGGCGGTTCCCTGCGTGTTCCAGGGAGGAGTCCTTGGGCCTGGCAACGTGACATCCGAGGACTGTGCTGTGAGGAGCAGGCGTCGCCTGCACCCTGTCCCAGCAGGTCAGAGGAAGCAGCAGTGCCCCACCCCCGCAGCAGGACTCTCCCTCCTGCCTTTGTCAGAAAGCCCCCAAATCAGCGCACAGGGGTCCTGGGCCCCAGAGGAGGAGACCCGGTGCAGGTTGAGCCCTGCTTTTTGCTGACAGGTTACCCTGGGGCATTATTGGTTCTTCCTGACCTTCAGGGCCTTAGTCTATTTAGCTCCTGCCCATTTAGCTCAGGAAGCTCTTGAGGTAGTTTATAAACTGCCACTTGCAGAGCCTGATCCTTGAAATAAAAAAATCCAGTACGATCCTAAATGCCCGTAATGTTTTGTCTAACTCAAGGCAGGCCCTTCTCACCCAAACTCCAGTAACCTTCTATTCAAGGTAAAAGAAGGCATGGGGAGGGGAGGTCATGAGGAATATTTCGAGAGATCCAGTGGCAAATAGGGCCACATCCAGAGGGTCCTGGTCCCAGATGCCACCTTTAAAAGTGTTAAGGACCCAGAGGAGTGAGGAAAACTGTCCTTGGCCATAGGAAGGTGTTGAATGTCACGTGACCTCAAGGAGCACGGCCAGGGACAAAGAGGTTGACTTTAGTTCCATAGAGGGTCTTTTTCATTGTCAGAGCCACCTCTTGGGCTAGTGTGTTCCCTAACACCAGTCAGCCAGCAGATACTGGGTGATTGGAGGACACCAGGGATCCCCTAGTTAACTAGAGTACAAACCTGAAGACCCTAGGGGTGGTCCTCCTCCAGTGTTCTGACCATCGCCTCCTGCCCATGAGTCCATGTGTTACTCCAGCACTTTAAGCCTCCACTTCACACAGCACCCTTCTGGAATAGTCTCTGTGAGCCCACACTTGAGCCTCTGTCTTCTACTTGTCCTGCTGTGGGTACTGTAGCCTCCCAGGGCTTCCTGATGGAGGGGGCATCTCAGGCCCTACCCAGCCCCTTTCCCTCCCACTTGCTGGCATTAGAGCCTATGGCTACCATCCCCAGGAATGTCCCCATACAGGGACCACAGTCCAAATGACTCTCAGAGAAGGCCTTTGCTGGCTCTCTCCATCCCCAAGTACCTGCGTGTGCAGTGATTGGCCCTCCCGGATCCACTGTCCACCCTCCTCTGCTCTGTTCCTTCTGTGGACAGCCTCCCTAGGGCTCTCTTGCCCTCTGACTTCTGGTTCAGCCAGTGGGAGGCCCTAAGAGAGAGGTTGAGGGATTTTCTGCCCACCCCTTCCCCACACCAGTGCCGTGCACCACAGGAGGTTCCCAGGACCAGGCTCCAGCACTCACCACCCTTCATTCACACCACTTCTCCTCCTCATCCCATCTGCCCTGGGGTGCTGATAGCTCCCCACAGTTGTTAGTAGACTAGACATTCAAATGCTTCTAAGAGTGAAGCTATAAGATGAATTTTCTCAAGTGCCTGAAGGAATAGTGAATGCCCATGGATGTGTCTGGATCCAGAGTGGGAGGCGGGCACTGTGAGGCACTGGAGGGCTCAGACCTTTCTGAAGGGGCAGTCACTTCTCGTTCCAGCTGGTGGTGGATATCCAGAAGAGCAGTCAGATTTTCCACTTTTTTCAAGAGCAGGAAATCTGGACTTTCTCATAAAATATTTCTATTTCTAAATATGGCTAAAATTTATAACCCACTCTGTCGCCCCACCAAAATCTGTCTGCAGGTCACCATGGGTTTGCAGCCTCTGCTCTCAAGCTGTTTGCTTGCCTGCAGCTCTGCCAGGCTCTTTCACACCCCCACTGCTTTCACAGTTCTCTTTGCTGAGAATGCCTTTTTCTGCTTCTTTGCCTGAGCAAACTTCTTTTCTTCCAAGAACAAGCTCACACCTCACTTTCTCTCTGAAGCCTTCCTGGAGCCACCAGGCTGAACCTTCCCAACTCACCCAACACCAAAGCACTTTACCCATCCTTCTGTTAAGACACTCATCTCATTGCACTGCTACTGTTGGTTGACACCCATCCACAGTTGTCCTGTGCCCCAGGTCATGAGCTTCTCAAGGTCAAGAACCTTATCCTATGCACCTTCGTAGCCCCCATGCCTGATGCCTGAGGCAGGGCAGGTAATGCAATAACATTGTGTTGAGCAAAATCATCAGATATATTGGGCTTTCATTGGACAGAGTTAAGTCCCTAGAGTCAGGAATCAAGGTCGTATGAGATCACTGGGTCCTGTGGGGCTGCATTACTAGAATTTGGTGTTATTGCTGCAGTCAGACCCCTCTCAGGTCAAAAAGGTCTTTGTAACCCTCCCTGGATCCCTATCTACCATGAGAAGCTCTGTTGGTAGGCAAAAATACATCACACATTCTGACCAATGACTGATCGAAAACTTTGTCACAGCCTAGGAATTTTTTTCCCTCTCTTTTTTTTCAGCTTTATTGCAATATAATTTGTGGTGTACAATGTGATTATTTGATACAAATATCGATT